CTCATTTACTACAGTGAAAGGAAATAATTGTAAAAGGAAGTGATAAAATGGTAAAAAGAAATAACAGTATCTTTAACAGGCAATAATATACACATTCTGGTTCCAATTTGCATTCCTACCTAGAGTTAAAACTGCATGTCTTTATTGCCACTTTCTATTATCTCTCTTTAATTGTATCTGATTTTAAAAAAATAACACATAGTTATTAATGAGCTGAGCATATTTTAATGGCTTTTGGGAGGTCATTTGTATTTCCTTTTCCATGTAAAACCTGCTCATGACTTTTTCCCCTATATGTTGAATGATTGCTTATTTTTTATTGATTTGTAAGAATTGGTTGTTTATTGATACTAAATAGTTTGAAGTTACATATTTAAAAATATTTTCACCCAGTCTTTTTTCATGTCTTTATAACTTCTGATGAATGAAATTTCAATGTTAATTTAGTAAAAGTCATAATAATTTTCTTTGAACTTTGTGATTTTCTGAACATAAGAAATTTTTTTCTACCTCAAAGTAAAAAAAAAAAAATAACCTGTGTTATAATTTTGCAGATGTTCTGAAATTTTGCTTTTCATATTTACAGAGTGCTCTTAAATGAAGCCATGTTCAAAATAATCAAAATTGAGTTTTTTGTCATTCTATCTTTTATGTACAAGTTTGTAAATAATAAACTATCTCTTGAATTTTAGGAATGTATATTTCACTTGCCAGGTGTGAAGCAGAATCAATATGAAATTCATTTATGGGTAGGGTGTGAAGAGAGGTTCTAATCTTTTTTCCTTTTTTATTGAATTTATTGGGTGACATCTATATATATAAAAAGCCAGCGACCAGAATGCCGGAACGACCGGAATGACCAGTTGCTATGATGCCCACTGTGGCCTGTCAACCAGCCCAATCGGGGGCAGGACTGGCCTTCCAACCTCCTGTGGTCCCTCCCCCCAGCTGGTCCTGCCCCCATTCGTTCCCCCCTACCCCGATTGGGGGTGGGGCCGGCTGGCCAACCACCTGTGGCCCCTCCCCCCGTGCCAGCTCAGCCTCAGTCAGACCCTATTGGGGCAGGCTGGCCGGACCCCACCCATGTATGAATTCATGCACTAGGCCTCTAGTCCTATATAATAAAAGGGTAATATGCAAATTGACCCTAACAGTGGAACAACCGGAAATGATGCAAGAGCTGCCCCCCTGGTGGTCAGTGCACTTCCACGGGGAGCACCGCTCAGCCAGAAGCCGGCTCATGGCTGGACAATGCAGCGGCAGTGGCAGGAGTCTCTCCCACCTCCATGGCAGCACTAAGGATGTCTGACTAATGACTTAGGCCCCGGGGCTCCCAGGCTGCCAGAAGGATGTCTGACTGCCAGCTTAGGCCCGATCCCCCGGGGAGCAGGCCTAAGCCAGCAGGTGGACATCCCTTGAGGGGTCCTGGACTGTGAGAGGGCGCAGTCTGGGCTGAGGGACACCCCCTGAGTGCACGAATTTTCTTGCACTGGGCCTCTAGTTGGTTAATAAAATTATAGAGGTTTCAGTTATACAAATCTATAATACATCATCTGTATGTTGTATTAGAGGCCTGATGCATGAAATTCATGCATGGGTAGGGTCCCTAGGCCTGGCCTGTGGGATGATTGAGGGGCCCCCGCTGGCACCCACGTTGGCCAGCCTGGCGCCACCTGCTTTCCAGACCTGCCCCCGGCTGCCACCACTGGTTGCCTCCCACAGAGGCGATTGGGAGGCAGCACCAGCCCACTCACCAGCCAGCCCTGTCCCCTGCCACCGCTGGTTGTCTCCCTCTGCAGGGTAACCGGCAGGGCAATTGAGGGGCCCACCCTGGTACCTGCCTTGGCTGGCCTGGTGCCTGTGGGGCTAGGGGCAGCTCTTGCATTGAGCGTCTACTCCTTGGTGGTCAGTGTGTGTCATAGCGACTGGTCATTCCACTGGTCTTCTGCTGTTTGGTTGATTTGAATATTAGGCTTTTATTATATAGGACTATTTGTTTACTACTCCAAGTCAGGTCTCCTTCCTTCACTATTTACTCCCCCTTTACCCTTGCCTACCTCCCCCACCACTCTTTCTCTCTGGTAATCACCATACTGTTGTCTGTGTCTATGCGGTGTATATTTTTTTCTTTATTCCTTCATCTTTTTTACCCAGCTCCCAACCCCCTTCCCCTATAACAGCTGTCAGTCTGTTTTCTGTTAACTCTCTTCTCTATGAGTTTGTTTATATTTTGTTAGTTTACTTTGTTCCCTAGATTTCACAAATGGTACTTGTTTTTTTTCCAGCTGATGGAAAGGGAGACTGGATTCTAAAATTTAATATGACTCGTTTCATAGCCTAGCATAAGGTCTTTCATAGAGAATGTTCTATGTGTAATACTATTTTGGAGAGACTTTTGTTGTTGTTGTTGGTGTGTGTGTGTGTGTGTGTGTGTTTGTTAATCTTCACCTGAGGGTACTTTTCTGTTGATTATTAGAGGGAATAGAAGGGAGTGGAGAGAGACAGAGAGAGAGAAACTTCGATGTGAGAGAGACACACATCGATTGGTTGCCTCCTGCATGCATCCTGACCAGGGCAAGGGATTGAGCCTGCAACCTAGGTACGTGCTCTTGACTAGAATCAAACCTGGGAGCCTTCAGTCTGCAGGCTGACACTCTATCCACTGAGCCAAACCGGTTAGGGCTTATTCTGCCATTTTCATTGATGCCCGTCACTAGACTTATATCTTGGAATGTTGGACTCTTAGTTCACATTTTTCAAAGTCTTACTTTTCCTTCAGTCTTGCTTATGCTGTCAAACATGTCAGCAGGTCTTTTTGGTGTACTTGGCAAGGTAACATTCTCTTTTAGCCCAAGATTATACAGACAAACTCATATTGATTATTTTAATATTTTGTATTGTTTTGTTTTGCATTTAAATTTTATTTATCTGAAATTTAGTTTGTAATAATGTGAGATTAATGTACACTAAAGAGACCGCTTTAGTTTTTTAAAATAGATATTATACATTATTCCAGTTCCATTATTTAAAGTAAATGATTCCTCTCTTACTGAATTCAAATCCACTTTTAAAAATACTAATTCAGATCTATTTTTGGCTCCAGTTTTTTTCCTCTGATCTTTATTACGATACCAAACAATAAATAGTGCTTTATTCTAATGGTATTGTATGATGTTTTTAATATCTGGTAGCAAGTTTCCAACATAATTTTTATTTTTCATATACCTCTTGACTAGTCATCTATACTAATTTCATTTCATGCAGTTTGAAAAATAATATTTCTAGAGTGCTTTGCATTAATTTTGGGTTAACTAACATTGTATTTTATTAGGCCTTTGAATGACATGCCATATTTTTGAATGTGGGTCTTGATTTAAACTTTTAAATAAAAATTTGTGTTTGCTTTACATAAGTCTTCTCTTTTGTATTGGATTTATTATAAAATTTCATATATTTTTGACCAAATTTTTAAAGTATTTTCACTATGTTTTTTTAAATATGTTTTTATTGATTTTTAGATAGAGAAGAAGGGAGAGTGAGAGAGAAAAAGAAACATCAATGATGAGAGAGAATCATTGATCGGCTGCCTTCTGCACGTCCCCTACTGGGGATCCAACTACAACCCAGGCATGTGCCCTGACCCAGAATCGAACCCCGGACCTCTTGGTCCATGAATGACACTCAATCTATTGAGCCACACTACCTGGGTATCACTATGTTTTTAGTAGCTTATTTCTCTTATAGATAAGAGCTATTATCTTATATTTGTACAAGGGCATTTTACCAAAGTCATTTGCTATAGTTTTGGTTAGAATCTCTGTTAGATATTAAATCAGATAATCTAAATTTGTATACATGTTACCTATTCACATTCAATATTATAATAGTAACATTTGATTCCATTCAATTGCATTTAGCTAAACTTTCACAAAAAAATGATTAATAATAATGTTGGCAAAACATAAGCTATTCTCATTTGTTAGTTCAGTTCAGTGGGCATGCACTTAGCATTTTATTATTTATTTTGATGTTTGCTGTTGATTTTTTATATTTGGGTAGTTCTTCCTTGTTCTAGTTTAAAAATTACAGAAACTACATGGTGAAAGTCAAATGGCTGTTTGGTGAACTGTAGGCTCTATTCATGTTATTTTCTGCTTTAATTTGTTGATGTGATGAATTATGACTTAAATGAACAAATCTTTATCTATTCTTACAACATAACTAAATACATTTTATTTTGTCATGATGAATTATTCATTTGTGCACTGTTAGACTTGATTTTCTGTATTTTATTCTGAATCTTTAATATATAAAAAACAGCCTATGGTATTATTTTATACTATTTTAATCAATATTTATTAACTTATGATAACTGCATAAAGTGAAATATAATCTATTTCCTATTTTACAAAATAATGTAATTCACCACATTAATTTATTTTTGTGTACATTTTCTCTTAGCTAGAAGATTTGAAAAGAATTTATGATCAACTAGTCTGGAGGAAAAAAAATTACGAAAGTGAATATGCGGAAATGCTTCAGAGTTTTCGTTCTTCAGTAAGTTGACCTTGTCTACTTCCCTCTGGATTTCCATTCTCAATTCCCAAACATTAACTTATGCAACTAAAGTAATCTTATTATTTTATATATTATTTATTTTTGAGATACATAAATATGTACAAATGATTCTTTTATTCTTTTCTTAAAGAAAAAAGCATGGGACGATGAGCTTGCTGATGTCGCAAAAGATTTTTCAGATATTTCAGTGGTATATAATAAATTGACAGAAGAAAATAAAAAACTTGAGATGGATATTGAAATTACATCAGATTCAATCCGTGAAAGGTAATTCTGAAAACATAATTTTTATTTGTATGTAACATACCTAATCTACACTAGTAAAAGACAAAGATGCTAATTGACTGTACCTTTGCTTCACCCTAAGCCACACCCACCAGCCAATTAGAGCGATTATGTGCAAATTAACCCAACCAAACAGTTCAAGGAAGGACACAGACAGTGCCCTGTTTTAGGTCCCAAATTTCTTCTTTTTGATGGGTGGTGGGAGTTGAGCGATGATGTCATCCAGGGGCCTTTCTACTGCCACCAGTGTCTTTCATCCAAAAGATCCATGAAGAGTAGAGGCTTATATATCTTAGAAATTTTAAAGGCATGGGCTGTGCGCCTCCTGATGACATCTGATTCATTTGTGGGAGGAAGTGGATTGTACAGTAAGGTTTTGTCATTTGGAAGAGGCTAAAAAGACAAAGATACACTGTTTAAGTCGTTTTTATTGGGCTTATACAGAACAATGGACCATACTGATTTCAGGCAAATACTATCTTTCAACCATCATATACATTTACTTCCTCCCTGACTCTCCTCACTTCAGGAAGACAGCTGTAGTCACTCTTCCTGCTGTACTGTAGAGGGGGGCGTATGAGGCAAAAAGAGCTTGGTACTCTGCCGGCAAGATCAAAGAGCCCAGCTGGGGCTTCCGCCAGTCTTGTCAGTAACACTGAGCGACAGGAATACACTGGCATGTGCAGCAGGAGCTTAGCCCATGAAGGTTCTGCTTTCTACACTACCCCCAACCAGATCATGGGCTGGCCCAGTGACTAAAGTTCTCCCCAGGAGAAACGGCAACACAACCACCTCCACTGATGTCACTGACACCTCAAGAGATGGCCTCTGGCCAAGCAAGTGATATTTCATCTCTGACTTCCTTGGGAAATAGCTCTGCCCGCAAGAGGAAGTGATGGACTTATCACCAATGCCTGGGAAAAAATATGGGCTGATCTGGACTGAGTTACAAAGAGGCAAGCAAGTGGGAGAGGCCCTTCCTGTATCACTCAAATTGCACAAGGCACTTGTCAGCCAGCTCTACTTCCCACACCCAGAGGACGCAGAGCCCATGAGAAGAGTTCCAGTGACACATCACCACGCACCCTTCTTGAGAGCCATCTGCTGCTTTCTCCATGTTCCTTCCACCCCCACCCTCAGATATACAACACTGTGTGTGTTGCTTGTAATCTAAGCCCAAAGTGCATTGCAGGCATGGCCACAGTTCTGTGCTCCCAGGAAAGAAAGTGCCTGCTCAGAAAAGACATAAATTTGCAGTGAATCAAAACAGCAGCTGGCAGAGGATGGAATCTAGAACTGAAAAAAATGCCCACCTAAATCATGGCTGGATTTTTTTTTAAGATCTTAAGACCAACTCCTCAAGCCTGCAGATAGTGTCTGAGTACATACAGCCTAGGGACATATGTGGTCCAAACCACAGTCTGTATCTCCTTTGATGAAACCACATTATTCAGCCACTCCGGGTGCAAAGGTGGAAGTGATTTAGCCAAATCAATGGTTTTCCCTCCCAATGAGGGTCACTTTCTGAATATTGACCTAATCACTTTCCCACTTAAGTTTACTCATAGGCAAAACAAAGAAGTGGTCAAATTAGCAAAAACCAGTACACAAAGGCCCACTCCTTCCCTGGGAGCCTAAAGAATGTGGGAACAAAAACAAGGAATCTGGGAAACAAAAGGCTTCTCTCCTCCAAAGAATATAGCAGGAAAACTTTGTTCTGATTCTCCTTCCTCTAACTTATTGTACCTCTTGCTTTTAGAACTTGCAGTTTCTTGAGTAAAGAAGATTCGGTGAGCGCAAGGGTGAAGAGGCAAAGAACTCACCAACGACTTGTCGATGATGCAGAACATGTAGGCATCGTGGAGAAGAATGTGCATTGGTCTCTTGGACTGAAAACTGATGTGTGTGATGGGAGTATCCCTTTGGAGCCAAAGGTAATGAAACCCCTGCTTCTGGGTGGTCCGGCTCCACTCTGTATACTGTTTGTCTGGAATGCTATATTCAAATATCTGCTGGTCAGAATGAGCGATGACCAGGTTGTTGGTTTTGGGGGCTATGGCCAGGGCAGTCACAGGGAAATTGTAAGCAGGAACCGTGCAGTGAAGCTTTAGACGTTTCACATTGTACACATGGACTCCAGCACTGGTGCCCGATGCAGCTAACCAATTCCCATCTGGACTGACCTTTAAAAGACACATGGACTCCACTGTCCCTGACTGAGCCTGAAAAGTATGCAGGTGCTTGAAGCTTCCTTCCAACAGCCGAATGATATGCAGAGACCCTTGATTTGAAGCCACAAAGAGCTTTGTTGAATCTTCAGAAAACAAAATCTGAACAGCAGAGCGAAGGAATGCTGGCATTTTGGAAACCCTGTGGAGACTTATTGTGCACGATTTTTGTGCACTGTGCCTCTAGTATATATATAAAAGCCTAAGTGACCGTTATGACCAGCCAACCAGCCAATCAGACGACTGGCCAGTAGCTATGACGCACACTGGCAACCCAGAGGGCAGATGCTCAACACAGGAGCTGCCACCTGGTAGTCAGTGCGCTCCCACAGCCAACCTCCAGTGGCTGGCTGGCACCGATCGGCCCTGATCGGCTGGGAGGGACCCCACCCATGCACAAATTTGTGCACCAGGTCTCTAGTGTTAAATATAATAAACCTCTTTATTTTGTGTTCTTGGGGTTATATGGTAGTTGTTTATTTTAACTTAAATTTTGTTTGTTTCTGTTTCAAATATTGCTCTTTAATCACTCAGAATCCCTTTAGAAAAATCACAATAGTGAAAAAAATGATCTTATAAAGTGTTTTGCACTCAGTCATATCACCTCCTTTTGATGTATCCTCTTATACTCAAAGATACTTTAAAGTTAAAACATCTCTAATGAAGTTTATGATCTCCTTCAGTCAACCCTCAATTCTTCCCTGTAACTACTAAATTACTTTTCTTAGTTCAGAAACCTACAAGTTTTTTTTAATCCTTGTTGTATTTCAGCATTCATATTTAACATGTTAATAAGAAATGTCCCACACACACACAGTATTTTTTTAGATCTGTTTGCTTTCCACTGCTCCACCACAAGCTGTCAACATGTCTGACATGAATTTGCAGGGTCTTTCGAACCTGGTGCACATACAGTCTCTATGTGCGCTTCCTAATCTATTATCTCCACTGTGGAAGGGATGTTCTTTTCTTATGGTTGGTTATAAGTATGATTGGTTTCCCTCCATATCTGCCTTAATTTTAGCTGAGGGAAGGGGACAAACCACCTCAGGTATCCCGCCGGGTCTCTGATCTCCGAACAGCAGGCACACCTGCTCTGTAGCCTCACACCACACCTGGCCCTGGTTTGTCTGCTTCCTATACACTGGCCTTACTTGAATTTCTCCTACTCGCCACATTTTCTTTCCAGCCCATAGGGCATTTTATGTTATTTCTCTTTCCTAGAATGTTTTTCCTCTTATACCTACTTGATTACCATGTACCCCTAAGATTGCAGCTTAGGAGTCAGTTCTGGGAAGCTTTCACCAACTGACCAGTTAAATTCAGTTCCTCTGTTATGTATGTATATAGTACAGACTCCTTTCTTCTTTATATCTCTCATTACATGTGCAATTTTCTGTGTGTTAATATTTGACTGATGTATGTCGCCCTCAAAAAAAAAAAAAGAAGATCCATGAGGGCAGACAGAGGTCATAACTACATTTTCTTCACCATTGATTCCTCCTCATCAAACATAGTGCCTGACACACACGGTGCTCTCTACGATTAATTCCTGAAGGGAGGGAAGGAGGGGAGAAGAGAGAAGTGATGATGCCACTTGATGATTGTGTAGGAAGTGTGTTAAAATTTCTTGGTGGTTACTTTATCCTTGGAAATGATAGAATGAACCCATTTGTAAAATTTATCTGTTATGTTTAACATACATTTTTAAAGAAAGCAACTGGATCATTGTTTTCTGAAGAGTAACCCAAAGCAGTAGCTGCTAATATTGCTACATTTTATTTAATTAAGAACGGGAACCAGAGGAGAAACATATATGTGAAGAGTGGGTAAGCTAATGAGACCCTCTGGAGGAGGTAGTACAGATGTTCCTCCCTTTTCTCCCCACCGACCCTCTCCACTCAGGCCCGGCCCCTGCCAGGCCTTCACCACACTGGTGTCTGAGAGCACTGATTAGATCAGTGGTTCTCAGCCTTCTGGCCCTTTAAATACAGTTCCTCATGTTGTGACCCAACCATAAAATTATTTTCGCTACTACTTCATAACCGTAATGTTGCTACTGTTATGAATCGTCATGTAAATATCTGATATGCAGGATGGTCTTAGGCGACCCCTGTGAAAGGGTCGTTCGACTGCCAAAGGGGTCGAGACCCACAGGTTGAGAACCGCTGGATTAGATTGTCCGGCAGTAATGAGCCACCTCCCCACCTCTGTGATATACAAGCATAAACGTTTATTTCTCACTCGCATTGCAACTCAGCCCGGGTTGCTGTGTTTGTGCTTCTCAGATCCAGGGTCAAGGGTCAGATGCTCCAGGGCCTCTTGCTCAGATAGCGGGTGCACACCCATGAGGTCCCTGGGAAGCTGATCGGTGTCGCTGCCAAGCACACCTCATTGAACAATGTGGCCACGCCTGACGGGTGAGTAACTGGGAACCCCAATGCAATGCACCACGCGCAGTGGGAACGTGTTCCCTGGGACGCACGGGGCTTGTCCAGATAGCACAGTAAGATGTCACTCGATTCCTTAATTTTCCCTGGAAATTAACAATTAAACAGATGATTTTAACAGCAGACTACACAGTGATGAACAGAGTTTTCGTGGAGGATTAGTAAAATAAGAGAGTTTAAGACACGAGTGGGTAAGAGGTCTATCAGGTAGCTAAGTGATGTTCCGAAGGAAGAGAAGATAAAGGACAGAGCTGAGATTTGATGACGTAATCAGCAGTTCATACATTGCAAATAGTTCTTATCTATATTTCTTTCCTTTTTATTGAATTTATGGGGGTGACACTGGTTAACAAAATTATACAGGTTTCAGGTGCACAGTTCTACAACACATCATCTGTATGCTGTGTTTATTATGTGTTTACCACCCCAAGTCTGGTCTCCCTCCATCACCATATATACCCCTTTTTTCCACCTCCTTTCTCTCCCTCTCTTCTCCCTCCCCCAGGCAGTCACCTCACTGTTGTCCTTGTCTATGAGTTTTTATTTTCCTTCTCTCTCTTTTTTTGGCTCCCTCCACTCCCCCACATATAATTAACTCACCCATAATGCCTTGGCAGGGCCAGACCAAATGATTTTGCCGGCTTTACTAGTATATGGCCCGCAGGCCGGACATTCCCCACCCCTGCTTTAGGTGAGGGCCAGGAAGGGGGAGCAGCTGGAACTCCATACACACTCCTAGTGGGAGTGCAGTTCTGCAGAAAAGATGGCAGCGCTATTTACTACTGAGCTAACTGCATTCCGCTCCCAGGGATATGCACCACAGTGAATCCCACACATGTTCACCAGAACCTCTTCTGAGAATGTTCATAGCATTAGTTTAATAGCCACAAACTGGGAAATACTTCAGTGAACATAACGAATAGAATGCATGAAGAAATCGTAACATATTCATACAAAGTGAGCAATCAGAATGGACAGATTTCAGCTACATAGAACAGCTTGTATAAATCTCATAATCCTAATACTGAGCAAAAGAAGACACATAGAGACTATAGGATGCTGGTTAAAATAAACAAAGCAGGGGAGGGGTGGGGGTCAATAGGAAAAAAACAATAAAAAAAGGGGGGACATCTGTGCTACTTTCAACAATAAAGATACATTTAAAAAAATAAAAATTAAGCAAAGCTCCATGGTGCTGCCAGAACTCAGGGTGGCAGCTCTTGGGGCAGTGGTACCTGAGAGCACACGCTAGTGGCTCCTGCTGGCAGCTTCGCTTACTTTAAATCTGATGGGGGCTGTGACTTGTACATTTAGGAACTCTGATTTGCATGCTCTTCTGTGTAAAGGTTTACATTTATGTTACATTTAAAAACATTTATATTACATTTATATTAAATTACATAAATTGTTAATTTAGCCCAACAAAAAGTGTACCCACTAATTTAATCAGTTAGCAGGAGATTCTGAAGCTGCAACTGATTTGAGCCACTAGTGACATGATTACCTGTGGTTTTTTCCTCCATTCACTTCTGTGGTTTGCTGTAAGCACTCTGCCTTCTATGAAGTTCTCCAATTTATTTTATTGTTCTTTCTCTTGGACATACTAGAGCAGTGGTGATGTTTTACACATAAAATAAAAAAGCTAAAATGCATCCCTCTACATGGCTGCGTGCCTGCTGCCCTATAACTGTTTGCAGGTGTAGCACCTGATGTATTTTCCCCCTTTCTGGATCCGCAAGGACTAATCTCAGGCCTGCCCTATTGTTGATTTGCATTAAATGTTTGTTGAATAATACTTTTGGTAGAAAATATTCATTTGTAGAACACTCTAAAACAGCGGTTCTCAGCCTGTGGTTCGCGACCCTTTGGGGGTTGAATGACCCTTTCACCGGGGTCGCCTAAGACCATCGGAAAACACTTATATAATTACATATTGTTTTTGTGGTTAATCACTACGCTTTAATTATGTTCAATTTGTAACAATGAAATTGGGGGTCACCACAACATGAGGAACTGTATTAAAGGGTCACAAAGGTTAAGAACCACTGTTCTAAAAGGTCACATGAGATACAGAAAACAATATAAAGATCAATGGTTTTTATCATTTAGTGTCATTTATCTTTATGTTAACTTTATGCAAAGAGCGATTTTATAATTTTGTAGTTATACCGAATAGACTTAATACTGCAACTTTATGTTTATGACTAAATTCATAAAGTGATGCTACTTTGATTAATGTTCTTTAGAGGAATAAATTGACTCAGGCCATACAAGATTCTCAAGTAAAGATCTTAAAGATGAGCTCACAAAATTATAAGACGATAAGGAAAAATGAATGATTTATCAGAAATAACCATCAGTATATTTAACCCCTCCAATAATATTCAATAATAGGATTATTAAATTAAATTTACCTAAGTAAGCTTAAAATTATTGAAGGGAACAAAATAAACTAATAGAACACTATCAAAAACAGTTCAGGCAGATTTGAAAAATAATTCACCAAACCTTGTAAAAGTTAAACCTGGATTCAGTTTTATTGAAGATTTTATTAATTAAATAGAAAATCCAGCTGCGGAAAAAAGAACCAGTGCAATTAAAAACACAAAGAGAGCCCTAGCTGACTTGGCTCAGTGGATAGAGCGTCAGCCTGTGGACTGAAGGATCCCAGGTTCTGTTCTGGCCAAGGGCACATGCCT